GTGAAGGGATACTAGTACATGCCTGACCATCTATGCAAATCATTACCCCTTTGTTGTGCACATCACTAGCGTCTTCTCCGTCTCCTTTTCCTTGCTCTTCAAGATTTCTTGAGGGCAGAATAGATGGATGGACGGCTGCTTCTTTTCTACATCCATGCGTGACTTCTTTATTATCATTTATTTTTTGTACATCAGAATTTTGAGAAGGCAATTCAGAAGGAGATTCAGCAGCAGGAATTGAATTGCCTCCTTGCAATAGTCCATCATTAGCTTCATCGCGACTGTTACTCCTCTCTTGAAGGGATTTTGGAGTACATGCTTTGGTATCAGACATGTCTTCTGATCCGGAGCAAGAGTTTTTCAGATTACTTCTGCTTCTGTCAGGTCTTGCATTATCTGCTGAGCTTTCTTCCCTCCTGTCAGTTCTGTCTCTAGTCGAGTCATTCTTTTTTAGACTCTTAATTACTTTAGATGTGGTTTTTTCAAGAGTGCTTTTTAATCCTTCAGCATTATTTCTTATTCGTAACTCAGATTCCCAAGCAAGCCTATTGGAAGGAACTTGCAAGTGATCAGAAGAATTGTTTGATCTTTTCCAAGAAACATCCTTGGTCACTCTATCAGAAGTTTTCACTTGTGATCCTGGAGAAACCCATATAGAAGTCCTGTTGCTAGATTTGTAACCTCCATCACCTAATGCTTTATCTTCTTCACAATCAATTCTCTTTCCCAGATTTCAATGGAGGCTTATTGTAATGTGATCCACCGCGATCGCCTGATCTGGAAACCCTTTTCTGAGATGAATCTTTAGAATGTTCTGCACCCCATCTGTTTTGCAGCCAGGAGTTCCAAGACTGCACAGCAGAACGAGAATTTTGGCAGGCATCTGATGCGGAATTTGTGGCTTCATCAGCACTTCTGTCCATTTGCAGACAGGAGTTCCAAGAAGGCCAGCTTGAATGAGAATTCAAACACTCGCCCGGAGAAAAACCTTTCTTCTGTGTTGGCATACCTTTGCCATCATCGGCATGCTTTGCTTCTTGGACAGTGCCTCTCTTCTGCAGCAAAGCATCCCAGGAATGCATACCAGACAAAGAGTTCACTTCGTCGCCTAAACCAGAAGCTCTTTTCTTTGGAACAAGTTCATTTTTTCCAGCATTACTATCATTCGGCCTTTTGCGAGATACATTTTTGTCGTTTGGAAACTTACCCTTCAAGTGCAAACTGGATTTACAAGAAGGAAAACGAGAACCCATATTTCTATCATCATCAAGTGAATATGGAGATCTTCCCCAAGACATATTTTCTTCAGAGAATCTCAAAACCAGACTTCCTTTCTGAAAAGACACCAAAAAACACAGAGGAATGATAAGAGAAATTCACATATAGCATATAGGCCATATCAAACCCTACATCCAAACAAAAAGATATATAGGAGAAAAAAAGGAAAACATCTACCTCCAAAAAACTACAGAGCAAAGGAAATTATTTAATGTTAACCTAAATGTTACGGGTGTTAGCCCATGGGCCATTCCACGGCCCATTTATACTAGTTATTGTTTTCTTATTTCTTGTTTATGTATAATCACTTAATATGAGACCCGATATATATGTTGATGGAGGATTTGGAGATGAAATAGAAAAGTTATTACCTAATCTATTCTCTTTTAGCTTTCTCTCTCTCTCTCTCTCTCTCTCTCTCTCTAATTGTTGTAACAGCCTCGAGACCCTCTTCTCAATCCGAGAGGTCTCCTCGCCTGCAACATTGGTATCAGAGCTCTGATCCTGGACCGGAGGCCTGGCGTTAACAAGGAGCAAGATGGCAACACTGGATGAAGCGCTCAAAGCTTTGATCGATCAGCAGAAGCTGTTCTCGCGCCAGATGGAGGATCAAAATAGGCGGATTGATGATCAACAACAAATGTTCAGTCAGATGATGGAGCAAATTAAATCGATCACAAGTAGAGAGTCATCGCACCCAGAGAGCGATCTGGATCACTCGAGAAGGAGGGACGCTTCAAATCACAGACAGCTCCACTTTAATCCCAAGGTAGAATTCCCCCAATTTGGCGGATCTAACGTGAGAACTTGGATTAAGAAATGTGTGAAATACTTTATGTTGTGCCAAATTCCGGATGAGAAGAAGGTAGATCTAGCCTCCCTATATATGATTGGAAAAGCTGAAGTGTGGCATCATAGTTACACAATAGGGAGGGCCAATATTGCTTGGGAAGACTTTGTGGTAGATCTTAGCACCAGGTTCAAAGATGAATTGGGATCAAAAATAGTGGAGGAATTCAATAAGTTACAGCAGATGGGAAATCTAGAGGATTATATAGACAGATTTGAGGAGTTGAGGGCTTGTTTACTGCAAAAAAATCCTTTGCTGCCAGGTGATAATTTTTTGGACAGTTTTATAGGGGGACTCAAACCTCACCTTTAGGCATTCGTAAGAGCTCTCAAACCTGGGACATTGGCCGAAGCTATTGATTATGGTAGGTGTCAGGAGGAGACGGTGTCTGCCATTAAAGGACAAGAAAAGGGCATCAAATCTCAGTTTACTAGCAAGGGCATTCTACCAACACCTGTAGCCAAACCGGTGAGTTCTGTTCCTATAGCAACCCAACCTAAGTTCATTCCCACTGCAATCAGGGCTGAAAAGATAGCCAAAGGACTCTGTTATTATTGTGACAAGCCCTTTGAAAAGGGGCATAAATGTGCTGGCTGGGGAACACAGCTGTTTCTGGTAGAGGTGCCTGGAGATTTAGAGATAGCGGAGGAGTTGCAGATGGGAACCAACTTCAGTGCAAGTTTATGTGCCTTGGGTTTGAATGGAGACTTCAGAGAACGACCTACAAGTCTGACATGTTGTTGATTCCACTGGGGGGATGTGACATGGTGTTGGGCGTGCAGTGGCTAAGTATGTTGGGTCCAGTGAAGTGGGATTTGAGTAAATTAGAGATGGATTTTTCTTATAAAGGACACAGACAAGTTCTAAGGGGCATGAAACAGCAGGTTGCTGAAGCCAGACCTAACAACTTAACCAAGATTCTAAACAATTCTAGTCAATGATGCTTGTTGCACATCTACACTCCATGTGGGGATAATACTAGTACACAGCAAGAGAACACTTCAGAGGGAACTCCTATTATCATGCAAGAGCTATTGGAAGAGTACGAGGACCTGTTCCAAGAACCCCGAGGACTACCACCTTACAGAGGAGTTTTCGACCATACTATTCCACTAGAGCCTAATGCCAGCCCAGTGAATATTAGGCCTTATAGATACCCTATCAGACACAAAGATGTGATTGAGCAGCTGGTCAGTGAGATGAAAAATAGTGGAATAGTGCGAGATAGTGGAAGCCCCTATGCTTCTCCGGTAGTATTAGTTGGAAAAAAGGATGGGAGTTGGAGACTTTGTGTGGACTATAGAGAACTGAACAAGCAGACAGTTAAGCACAAGTTTCCTATACCGGTGGTGGATGAACTCATCGATAAATTGGCTGGAGCCACGGTGTTTAGCAAAATTGACTTGAGGGCTGGGTATCATTAGATAAGAGTAGCTGCTACAGATATCTACAAAACTGCTTTCAAGACTCACAATGGCCATAATGAATTCTTGGTTATGCCATTTGGCCTAACCAATGCCCCTGCTACTTTCCAAGGCCTAATGAACCATGTCTTCAGAAACCAACTCAGGAAATCGGTATTAGTGTTCTTTGATGACATCCTCATTTACAGCCCTACATTGGCACTGCATTACACACACCTGTGAGGAGTATTCAATACTATGAGGGAAAATGAGTTGTTGGCAAAACGAAGTAAGTGCTCCTTTGGAGTATCAAGAGTAGAGTACTTGGGCCATTACATTCCCGGGCAGGGAGTTTCTACTGATCCCAGCAGGATAGAGGCCATAAAAAATTGGCCTAGCCCCACCAACCAGAAGGAATTGAAGAGTTTCTTAGGTCTTGCTGGGTATTATAGAAAATTTATCAAGGGCTATGCAACTATAAGTAAAGCTCTCACTAATTTGTTGAAGAAAGGAAATTACCATTGGCCTGAAGAAGCCAACTTAGCTTTCCAAAATTTGAAGGAAGCCTTGTGTAGTGCTCCTGTGTTGGCACTTCCTGATTTTTCCAAGCAGTTTGTGGTTGAGACTGATGCATCCCAAGGAGGAATTGGAGCTGTTCTAATGCAGGATCACCATCCCATAGCATACATCAGCAAATAATTAGGGCCTAGGTGGCAAGCCTTATCTGTGTATGAGAAAGAACTACTGGCAGTAGTTTTTGCGGTGCAAAAATGGGAACAATATCTGGTTCATCAACCTTTCACTATTAAGACTGATCAAAAAAGTCTTAAGTGGCTACTTGAAAGTAAAATTTCTACACCCTTCCAACAATTCTGGTTGTCCAAATTGATGGGGTACACTTATGACATTCAATATAAGCAAGGGAAAGAAAATTTAGCTGCAGATAGCCTTTCTCGACACACTAGGGCGGAAATCCTATGCTTGGCACTCTCTACCATTGATTCTTCCTTGCTCGAAGACATTAAAGGAAGTTGGCAGAATGACTCCACACTTCAAGGATGTATACAAAACTTACAACAAAACCTACCAGTACACCACTATACTTGGGAAAATGACCAGCTAAGGAGGAAATGCAAATTGGTCATAGGGGCTAGTGATACACTCAAAGCTAAGTTACTTCAATGGGGACATTCCTCACCGGTGGCAGGACACTCTGGTAGGGAAGCAACATTGAGAAGACTCAAATCCTTGTTCTACTGGAAGGGCATGAACAAAGATGTATCCCACTTTGTGAGAAGGTGTCTCACATGCCAGGCTTGCAAATATGATAATGCTGCCTATTCAGGCCTCCTTCAGCCCCTACAGCTTTCAACAGAGGTATGGAAGGATATTTCCATGGATTTTATAGAAGGGCTTCCTAGATCAATGGGTAAGGATGTTATATTTGTGGTGGTAGATAGAATGAGTAAGTATGCCCATTTTTTTGTTGCTCTCCCACCCCTATACAACTCTAGAAGTGGCTCAATGCTACCTGGATAATGTGTTTAAATTGCATGGGATGCCAAGCACTATAGTCAGTGACAGAGACATTGTGTTTTTAAGTCAATTTTGGCAGGCCCTATTTTCCGTTCATGGAGTTGAGTTCTTGATGTCTTCTGCCTATCATCCACAAACAGACGGGCAGACCGAAGTGGTGATCAGATGCTTGGAGACTTACTTGAGGTGCATGAGCTCCCAGAATCCTAAAGAGTGGTGTAAATGGATTCCCCTCGCTGAATGGTGGTACAATACGACCTACCACTCTTCTATCCACATGACACCGTATGAAGCAGTATACTGTCAGCCTCCCCCTATCCATTTACCCTACTTGGAGAGACTACTGTTGAGGCAGTGGACAGGTCCTTCCAAAAACGAGAGGAGATGATCAAACAATTGAAGCATCAGCTGCAAAGGGCTCAAAACAGAATGCAGCAAATGGCCAATCAGCATAGATCAGAAAGGGAGTTTGATGTAGGTGATTGGGTATGGTTAAAATTGCAGCCTTACCGACAAACAAATGTGCAGCCGAGGCATAATCAGAAGTTGGGACCTAAGTATGTTGGCCCCTTTCCGGTTGTATCAAAGGTGGGCAAGGTAGCCTGTAAGCTTCAGTTACCCCCGCTTGTTAAGATTCATGCAGTTTTTCATGTGTCCCAACTTAAGAGGTTTAGGGGGGAGCTACCTGCTGAGCCACACATTCCTTACTGGTTCCAGGGCACAAATAGTCAAAGTCATCCTCTTCCTGAAGCTATTCTCTTTAGAAGGATCCAGAAAAAAGCAAACAAGGCTGGAGTGCAGTTTTTGGTGAAATGGCTGGGGGTACCAGAGGAGGAAGCTACATGGGAATGGTCTGAATCCTTCGTGCAACGCTTTCCAGGTTTCCAGCTTTGAGGACAAAGCTCAAGCTAAGGAGGGAGGAATGTTACGGGTGTTAGCCCATGGGCCATTCCACGGCCCATTTATACTAGTTATTGTTTTCTTATTTCTTGTTTATGTATAATCACTTAATATGAGACCCCATATATATGTTGATGGAGGATTTGGAGATGAAATAGAAAAGTTATTACCTAATCTATTTTCTTTTAGCTTTCTCTCTCTCTTTCTCTAATTGTTGTAACAGCCTCGAGACCCTTTTCTCAATCCGAGAGGTCTCCTCGCCTGCAACACTAAATTGACAGAGCATTAAATCAAAGTCTCCATCAAATCAGAACAAGTCGATTTCAGCTGCCATTACAAATCGCAGTAAAATAACTCACATTCAACAATCACATTCCGTTCGTAGCTCTTTACTTAACAAAATTTTCACTATATAAAATATTTTCAAAATATTATTTTACTTAATTAATATATATGTAATATTTAATTATAAGTAGGTTGAAAATAATAGACTGAAAAAAATCAATATAAATAGACCGGTGTAGTATTATAGAACCTGGAGCCAGGAGTTAATACATACACGTATCAGCACTTGAAAACCATACATGTCATCGTACTCCGTATATACTCTGTACACGGATAGAGAATCCGTTGTCATTCACCTTGCTTGAGCCCACCATAAAGGAAAGCGAATCATCGTCTCCAATCATGGGAGCAGTGTGGAGTTGGGTGGAAAAAAACCAAAGAGTGCCGAATTGATTGAGTTGCTAGGGTAGGACCAGAAGTGTACCGCATACATCAGTAGTCCCCATCACATATTTCTTATCCTCTTTGGCTCTTCTTATCCACTTCAAAAAGCGTGGCGGAGAGATTGGTGGTGCACAAATGAGATACGCTATTAGTATATCCCTAGTATTTTTGAAAGAGTTTATTACATCAATATCTCTATTGTATACTCCCTCTGTCACCAATTTGATTACAAATTGCGGGTTACGGAGTAAAATTTTCTACATTTTAAAATCATTTTATTTACAAATTGGTATATCAATAAGATATAAAAATTACATATTAAAAAACTTTGTCAAAAGTTCTACAAAACAAGAGGTGACAAGAATATATTATTTTATCGAATACTTAATGAAATCGCATAAATAAACAAAAGTTATCGAAAAGAGAGAAAAAAATTGTAATCTATTTTGGGACGGAAGGAGTAGTAAATATTCATTGTCCCTTGTGTTTTTAAAAATTACATTGTTGCCCTTTATGTTCTCATATTGTTACACCAGCTTCTCTTTAGACTAAAAAGTCATTTAAAAATTACATTGTTGCCTTTTATGTTCTCATATTGTTGCACTATTGTTTTTCTTTATTGTTTTCTTCTTTTTTCTTCTATGTTTTTCATAAATATTTTTTATTTATTTTTAAAAATTATTTTTAATAATGATTTAATAAAAAATTGTGTGCAATAAAAAATCAACTAAATAAAAAAAATTGAAGTAGACTTCATTTGTCTTAAATTAAAAATTTTTATTTTTTGTCCAAAAGAACTGTTTAGTGATTCATTTTCATGATACAAAATTCAATGAAACATTCTCTTTTTGTTAGAATAAGTGACCAACGCTAGATGGGGGATGAAAAGCATTTGATCGAAGAAATCGCAGGAAAAAAAATTAAGAACGTGAAAAGTAAAGAGCGTAGAAAGCGTAAAGGGAGCACACCAAGATTTATACTGGTTCACCACAACGTGTGGCTAATCCAGCCTCCCGAGAGACTCTCTCGAGCTACACTACTTCCTTTAAGCTTACGGGTGCTTAACAAACCGTTACAACCTGAGAACTCGAGTCCCATGAACCTCAACAACACTTGCTCGGAGATACTGCACTCCAAGACTTCAACCCATAGGAAAATACCTTTCCTTCGTACAACCAAGGGAAATAAGCTTCCCTTAACGTGTATACAATACTAAAACACCCAAGAACAAATACTCTCTTTTAGAGTGGATATTGAGTAAAATATTTACGCTCAATAACAACTCAAACTTCACACAATTTGGCTCTAAAAAGCTATGGAAAAAGATGTTGTATGAATGCAATGATAATGTGTGTAATGTGAAGTGAATTGGTTGGTGGTATATCCTTATACCCGACCTGGAAAACCGAAAGGGATAGGTCATAATATGACCGATCACTTTTATCAGTCACCAAATGAGGTTAACTCTTCGATTGAGACGGGTCAAAAATTGACCGGTCACTTCCACTAAAAAAGTGACCGGTCACATTTTGGGTGGTAGCCAAAATGTCATCTAATGTTACGAAGAATTCAAGAAGACCAAAGTTCTGGGCTAAGCTCAAGAAATGACCGGTCAACCTTTGAGAAAAGGTGACCGGTCATGTCATCTTACTTGACAAACATTGGTTCAGTATCTCAGGCATGGTGAACCGCGTAAAAGATCGAGAGACCACCCCGCCGTTCGTCCATCACGAGGCAAACAGTGAAAGGGATGTTTGTCATCTTGCAGGGCTGATTGGATTGAGAATATCCATTTTAAAGTCTTTGATTGAACAGTGCTTCTTGGTTGTATTAGTAGCAAGTCTATGATTGAACAGTGATTAGATTATGTACAGTGGCCTTCCTCCGGATTTCCTATTTTGTCCATGGGTGAACAGGGGAAGGTCACAAATCCTACTCTATAAATATGATGATATTGGATAGAGGAGGGGAAAATTCTTTATCTCACTAAAAACTAGTACACTCTTGAGACATAGTAAGAAATATAATTCGGACTGAGGAGATTTACCCTGTCTAGGTCATACTTTGTGTTCTTGTTGTGTGTTTTATATTACGGGTCAAATGTCCAGGTCAAAGCCCGGTCAACCCCACCCAGCTATATTTACACCATCATTTTTGGCGCCGACCGTGGGACCCGAAGTTGTAAAAGTTTTTTCGACCAGGTCAAAACTTTACCCCCACTAAATATCCGCAATCATGTCTTCAAGCAACCACAACATTGTGTCAAGCCAGGCTGCGAGTGAAAGCACTCCTGCTATCCCATTGATGATGTCGAGCATGGGGACGACCTTTGCCCCGATCACCACGGTAGGATCAATTGGAATGATCCCAATCATGTCAACCCCTACTCCTACGCCAACAACAACAATGTTCCCAGGCTCGATAACAACGCCTGGGGGGAGCATTCACACCATACCCGTCAGCTTGGGCACAATTTGCTGCTGACCCGGCAAATGCTCAGGCTCTACAGGGCTATCAACAGGTGATGGCCATGATGCAACAGACAGGGGGCATCATGCAATTTGCCTTCCCTGGCATAATGCCGCCAACCATGACTCCCATGCAACCCCCGATGTTGACCCCATCAACATTCATTCCAAGGATGGTCCCTGTGCGCCCGGTGAATTTGACAGGGATCATGAATGAGGCAGCGCCCTCAAATGTTCATGAAATCGATGAGGCGGAGCAAGAGGCAGCCCGTAGAAGGAAGGGTAAGGCTATAGCCAAATCCAGCAAGACCCGAGATTCGGCGTTCAAACGCCTAGGGGACAAAGATGATGGACCCCGCAAGTCTGCCAAGCTACGTCTTGGTCCTGAGATGGGCCGGACTAGCGCAATGGAAAGACTTGGCGGGAGTCGTCCCGCCCAATCTCATTGTTCTAGGGAATCTGAGATGATTCACCTAGACGAGGAGGAAGCTGAAAGCCAGCCCAAGGCATCAGCGTATACCAGGCTCTCATACAATGAGGATGACCTGGAAGAGATAGGGAGCGTAGAAAGAAAGTTACGTGCTCTGGAGGAAAAAGTGGAAGAGAAGGCGGGAGCAAAGAAGTATACCTTGGCCAGATCTCCCTTTTCAGCCAGGGTACATGCACAAAAACTGAGGCGGAAGATCAAGCTGGACGTGGAGAAGTTCACTGGAAAAGAGGATCCAAATGTCCACCTTGATACCTTCCACAACGCAGCACAGATGGCCGGGTGCACTGATGCTGAGGAGTGCTTTCTCTTCTTCTCATCCTTGAGAGGGAGGCCAGTGGAATGGTTTAACGGCCTTCCCCATGGCAGGATTGGGTCCTTTGAGAAACTTGCCGAAGTTTTCTGCAAGAAGTACTAGGACAACTGCATTAAGAGAAAGAAGTTCACCTACCTTAACACGGTAGGGCAGAGGGAGAAGGAGTCCTTGACTCAATTCTTAACCCGCTGGAGGGACGAGGTTGACAAGGTAGAAGAGATGGACGATAAGACGGCCATGTCTTTGTTGATGAATGCCTTCCGGTTAGGTGACCTCTACACTGAATTCTGTAGGAGGCCACCCTCCTCTTATCAGGAAGCCTACAATACGGCATGGGAGTATGCCGAGGCGGAAGTGCTGAATAAGAGAAAGCGAGAATTGGAGGAGGGATATACAAAGGTGAAATCCGACAAACCGAAGAAGGATGACCAGACGGAAGGGTCCAAGCCAAAAGCCACGTATGACGGATTTGTCCATCAAATAAGGGATGATAAGAAGGGAGAGCAACCCAAGAGGCCATGGACGGAAAAGTGGTGTACCTACCACCAATCTGACTCCCACATTACGACGGATTGTCGAAATGTTAAGGTTGTGCTCAAGGAGATGGCCTTGAAGGGAGAGCTTGAGGAAGGTTACGCGACGGGGAATAAGAAGGACCCGAAAGCGAACACCTGGACCCGTCCTCAGGGAAAAGACCAGGGAAGGAGAAAATCCGGGAAGGATAACAACAATCCGGATAAAGAATTCATTGAGATGATTGTCGGTGGCCCAGAAGCCGGGGACACTGCCTCCCAGCGGAAGAACTGGGCCAGGAGCTTGCACGTAGCGGTGGTTTCCTTGGAATCACAAGGAAAGCAAGCAAGGAGGGAACCTATCACTTTCACTGATAGGGATCTGCCCAGAACGGGGGGAGATCATAATGACCCTTTGGTCATTACAATGGACATCAATGGGGCTGATGTGGCCAGGGTCCTGGTTGACACCGGAAGCAGTGTCAATGTTTTATACTTGGATGCCTTCAAGAAATTGAAGCTTGACAGGTCCATGTTAAGGCCGCTACAAACTCCATTATCAGGCTTCACCGGAGCTAGCATAGAAGCAGAAGGTCAGATAACCTTATCGGTTACCTTGGGGTCAGGTAACAGGACAGTGACCAAACAAATGAGATTTGTTGTGGTCGACATCAAATGTGTGCATAATGCCATTCTGGGTAGGCCTGGAATCAACCAGGTTAGGGCCATTATTTTCATGGCACACTTATGCATGAAGTTTTACACTCCCAATGGAATCGGGGAGGAAAGGGGTGATCAAAAGAATGCTTGGTCCTGCTACTTGGAAGCAGTCAAGAAAATGATCCGCCAATTCGAACAAATTGAATTGGTCTCCCAGCAGGTAGACAAGGGTGAGGAGAAGGCTAGGATCGAGCCGGATGCAAACACGGAGGAGATCCAGATTTATGCCTCCAATCCTGAAAGGAAGGTCAAAATTGGATGGGGCTGATCTTCAGGAGGAGCTAAGGACTGAGATTGTCCAGGTGTTGACCAGGTATAAATCATTGTTTGCCTGGAGTGTTGCTGATATGCCCGGAATTGACCGTTCAGTCATTTGCCATCGTGTCTCTGTTCTTAAGGGGTCTAGGCCTGTAAGACAGAAGAAGAGATTCTTGGCAAGTGAAAGGAGGGAGTTTGTGAAGAAGGAGGTCAAGGATCTACGTGAGGTAGGTCATATCAGGGAAGTAAACTTCCCTGAATGGCTGGCCAATGTAGTCCTGGCTCCGAAGGGTGATACCTAGAGGATGTGCGTGGACTACACAGACCTCAACAAGACATGCCCGATGGACTCTTACCCTCTCCCCATCCCGGACCAAATGGTGGACGAAACTGCCGGGTGTGAGTTGCTCAGTTTCATGGATGCCTTCAAGGGGTATCACCAAATCTTCATGGCAGAAGATGATGAGGAGAAGACGGCCTTCCTCACCCCGGACGGGACATATTGTTACAGGGTGATGGCCTTTGGGTTGAAAAACTCAGGGGCAACTTACCAGAGGATGGTCAATAAATTATTCAGGCCTTTGCTTGGACGGACCATGGAGGCCTATGTTGATGATATACTGGTGAAGAGCAGAGCAGCCAGCACACATGCTCAGGACCTGAAAAAGTGTTTTGAGATTATGGCTATGCATGATCTTAGACTTAATCCAAAGAAATGTGTTTTTGCTGTGAGGACAGGGAAGTTCTTGGGCTTCATGGTGACAAAGAGGGGGATTGAGCCAAATCCTGAGAAGATCAAGGCCATTGTGGAGATGTAACCCCCAACATCGGTAAGGGATGTCCAGCGGTTAACAGGGCGGTTGGCGGCCTTAAACCGGTTCTTGTCCAAGTCGATAGAGAAGGCTTTGCCTTTCTTTAAGGTTTTAAAGAAAGCCAATACCTTCTAGTGGGATGATGAATGTGCCAGGGCATTCGAAGAGCGAAAGACGTATCTGACTTCGGACATTGTCTTGTCCAAACCGGAAACAAAGGAGACCCTCTACCTCTACTTAGGGGTTACTCAGATGGCCATTAGCTCGGTCTTGATGAGGGATGATGGGGTCCAAAAGCCCATCTATTATGTAAGCAAGGCCTTAAATGGGACAGAAAGTAGGTACACTCCTACGGAGAAGGCAGGGTATGCACTTTTCATAACAGCAAAGAAACTCACGTCCTACTTCCAGGCCCACCCCATCATCGTGTTGACCGACCTGCCATTGGGCACGGTCATGAGGGACTCCACCTCATCAGGAAGAATGATCAAATGGGCCATAATGTTGACCCAATTCAACATCGAATATCGCCCGAGTACGGCGATAAAGGGCCAAGCTGTGGCTGATTTTCTTGTGGAGATGACGGGTCACCAAGATGAAGAACCAGCCAGGGCTATCACAGAGCCTTGGTGGTCCATGTCAGTAGATGGAGCCTCTGGACCGAAAGGTTACGGGGGAGGTGTAGTATTCACAACTCCGGAAGGGTTCAAGGTGTATCATGCCTTGATCTTTAATTTCAAGCTTACAAACAATGAAGCTGAATATGAGGCGTTGATAGGGGGTCTGAGATTGGCAAAAACCCTGCAAATCACATGCATCAGGATCAAGTCCGATTCAAGCTTGGTGGTAGGCCACATCAATGGCAACATGGAGGCCAAAGGAGAGAAGATGCAGAAGTACAGAGACTTGGTAAGGGCACTATTGAAGGGCCTGACTGAGTATGTGGTGGAGCAAATCCCTAGGGGCGAGAACACCGGCGCTGACTTGCTATCAAAATTGACGCAAGCAGCCCCAGAACATGTGTCGAAGTTGGCCAGGATTGAGACGTTGGAAAAGGCTAGTATTGAAGGGCTTTTTGTTAGCCTGATAGAGGAGGATGGACAACCCAATCCAGGCCTGGTGGAGCCAGATGATATTTGGATGGATGACTTGGTCAAGTATTACATGACCGAGCAATTCCCTGAGAATGAGGACAAGGTAAGAAAAGTAAAGTTGAGAGCTCCCAGATTCCAAATGCTTGATGGAAGGTTATACAAAAGAGCATTTGGTGGTCCATTGTTGAGGTGCTTAACAAGGGAAGAGGCGGAAAGAGTGATCGCCGAGGTTCACAAGGGTGTCTGTGCAGCCCACCAAATGTCCAGGACACTCGCACAAAGGATTATCCTGCTAGGTTACTTCTGGCCTACAATGAACCAAGATTGTGAGAAGTATGTGCAAAGGTGCAAAACTTGTCAGGTGTTCTACAAATTTCCAGGAAGGCCTGCGACATACTACCATCCAATTTCCAATGTTATTCCATTCGCAAGGTTTGGGATGGATATCATTTGAGCCTTCCCTCAAGCTCAAGGAAGAAAGAAATATGTCATGGTCGGTATCGACTACTACACAAAATGGGTAGAGGCCGAGGCATATGCAACCATTACAACTAAGTAGTGCAGTGCTTTGTCTGGAAGAATATAATCACCCGGTTCGGGTCTCCCAGAAACATTGTAACGGATAACGGGCCTCAATTTCAGGTGGCATGAGTTCGTCGTACCAAATGGGCGAATCTCATAGTGCAAGGGTTGTCCTTGTGGGTTAGAATCATACAGCATGAAATCATCATCAAGTAAAATCATCATGTTTATGTATGGCATCAATTATGTATTGTCATCATCATCTTGAACACACATGCTATACTATGCTATATCATGAATAATTATATGTCTACTTGCTATTCAACTTGGAATTGCTGTATTAGCGTATTCATCAACTGACGCTGAGCGTATAGTTTGTTTTACTTGCTACACGCAGGTAACCATACTGATCATAGAGCCCATCCCAGAGGTCAATGAGAGTGACGAGATGTACGGACTGGTGGACCGCAATTATGATGCTTTATTTAAATAAAATACCTTTTCGGGCGAGTTCCTAGAAAATGTTACAAAACTTGTTTATGTTTTATCAACTTAGCTTCCGCACTGTTTTCAGACATCACTCCGAATTTATCATTGCATTTATCATTTGTATTAAAGTTTAATTGGTTTTAAATTATTCCTCAAATTATCATCCGTTATTACCATCATGGTAACTACTCCGACTCAAATAACCTAGGTAATCGGGTTATTCAAGTTGGGGTGTTACATTTTGGTATCGGAGCATTTGGATTAAAAAAATGATTTTGGAAATCAAATCAAAGTAGTTTCAAACACAAGTCCGCATCTCTCCACATCTCTACCCGGGAAGGTAAAACAATTAGTTTACTTATGACTAATTATATTTCCAAATAATTATATAAAATGAGTCAAGACTCGACTCACGGTCAGGCAAACCCTCATGCGGAGCCTGAGCACGTTAGTGTGCATACGGTGGACACGGAAGCTTCCAGTTACGTACCCCAACAACAACAGCCTCAGTCAGAACCTCAGAATGTTCCGAAGCAGTTCGCGGGTCAGAACCCGAATATGGCCATTCCGATGTTCCAACCACAAATGGTTGCTAACATGTTTCAGTTCTTCCAGCAGATGGCTGGAGCACATGTGCCTCTTCCACCACCTCCTATACCCATCATATCGATTGAGAAACTCAAGAGGAATGAGGCGTAGAAATTTTGTGGCGATCATATAGCGAATCCCCTATTAGCCAAGCGTTGGAAAGAACACACTGTGAGGGTACTGGAGAACTTGAAGGTACCTCACGAAGATTTGGGATGGCACGCCATATCCTTACTGCAGGAAGCTGGCTATGATTGGTGGAAGTGAGTAAGCGCCAACATTCCCGTGCCTGTACCATGGGATACCTTCGATCCACTCTTCAGAGAAGAGTATGTGCCCGATCACTACATCGAGACCAAATATGAGGAATTCTCCAAATTCACCCAGGGGAAGCTGACTCTCCCCGAGTACCGTCAGCAGTTTGATGGGTTGTCTGAGTTTGGTAAAGACTTAGTCAACACCATGGAGAAACGCTGCAAGAAGTTCATCAAGGATATAAGACCTGACCTCTCATCATCACTCATAATAGTTCCCCGAGCCGACATCAATGATGTTTACAAGAAGGCTCTTAAACTGAACGAGGAGCTCATCAAGAAGGCTGCGTACGATCAAGCTTTGCTGGAAGAAAGTCGGGCCGTCCAATCAGGCCCGAAGATTGGGCATGTTAATAAGAGGACCTTGTCCGCACCGAGCAACTCTCGTCATGATAAGCGAGTGAAATCTACTCCCTCTGTGTCTGTGACCGTCACTAGTAAGAGTGGGAAGGAGAAAGCGACATACCGTAAACCTGGATGCTCACACTGTGGCCGCAGGCATGCTGGTGAGTGTTGGCTCACACAGGGTCTTTGCCTCGGGTGTGGTCAGGCAGGTCACTTTCGGAAGGATTGCCCGACGAACCCAGGCAAGGTTTTCTCCACAGCACCAGGCACACTGGGTGTTTCAACTGTCCGACGGGCCGAGCCTACCCAGAGTCATCGTTCCACGGCTACTTCTAACCAGCCGAAAAGACCAGCATCCAGTCAACAGCAAGAACGAGCACTAGCTCGTACGTATGCCACGCAAGGGCGTAAAGATCCATAGGCTAATGATGTTATCATGGGTATATTCATTTTATTTGAAATCACTGTATCTGCATTAATTGACCCTAGATCTACCTTATCGTACATATGTATACCCATGCCTGTTAAGTTTGACATCATTAAGGAAACTCTCGAGCATCCAATAGTTGTGTCAAACCCACTAGGACATAGTCTACGTCTTCAACATGTCTATAATCAATGTTCGTTGACGGCTCAAGGAAAGGTATTCTTAGCCGATCTCATTGAACTCCCTCACAAGGAGTTTGACGTTATACTTGGCATGGACTGGTTGACAAAACACCAGGCTATTGTCGAGTGCAAGGAACGAGTGGTGAGACTTCGTACTGATGATGGTAACGAAGTGATCATTCAGGGAGGACTTCTGCCGAAAGCCCCGAAATTCATCTCTTATATGCAAGCAAAACGGCTCATTCACAGGAAATGTAAAGCATTCTTGTGCACTGTTAAGGATATACAGAAGGAAACACCTAACCATAAGGACATATCTGTGGTTTGTGACTTTTTCCTGATGTATTTCCTGAAGAACTTCCTTGTCTACCTCCTCCAAGAGAAGTAGAATTCTCTATTGATCTTGTACCTGGTACAGGATCCATCTCAGCATCACCTTATCGAATGACCCCTGCAGAAATGAAGGAATTGAAAGCTCAATTGCAGGAGTTATTAGATAAAGGCTTCATCTGTCCTAGTGTTTCCTCGTAGGGAGCACCTGTCCTTTTCGTCCGTAAGAAAGATGGATCAATGAGATTATGCATTGACTATCGTTAGCTGAACAAAGTGACGATAAAGAACTGTTGGGAAAAATATTATAGATTTTGATGATGATGTATTTAGAATATATTAGGGACTTTAAGCCTCCCCCAATATTCAATGTAATTTTTCTTTTTAGAAATATTGTCAAAACCGAGCTCTTGAGATTTCCAATAAAACTGTGATATTTCTTTAAGGGTTTTGATGCCTGAAGACTTAATCAAATTCAGTGATATGAAAATTGGATATCTTGATCGGAAGTGTCAGAGACAAGTAAGGATTTCTCAATCAGATGAAAACCCTCAGATCCGGAAGACTACATAAGAACCGGATGTCTCGCTACAACCCGCTGAAGGCTAAGTCATTCAAATCGGAAGACTAGCGCGGATCTCCTTCTCACCCGGAAGTCTGAAAATGACTCATCCGGATTTGTCAGCTAAGAATCGGAAGACTCACCGAAGACCGGAATTCTCAGAAAGCGGACAAGTGAGAAAAGGCTTAGAAAATTATCTAAGTCCTGAATGAAGAAATTCTACCCGTTGAAGATAATTATGCTGATTCAAGAACAAATTACTCGAAGACAAAGTCTGGGCCTCTAAAATTAAAGAGCCTGCCCAGAATTCCTAAACAAGCACTAGAAGACAAACAGAGTAAAGTGCTACAGTCTTGAATTCTTGAACAACGGCTAGAAGACGGATTTTGGGGAATCCTTTCTCAACAATTGGGTACGTCCAAACACCCACTTCAACGAAGAATCTTCAAATCACAATCTTCATTCAAAATTGAAGCCAGCAAATGCAACGGATAGTCTATTATAATTCAACGGATAGATTATCCAATCCAGCTATAAATAGCATCCTTGGAAGACTGGAGAGAGTACGATGAGATACGTTGATACAACAACACAACGAAGCAATCACAAAAGCTATCTCATTCACAGTTAGCCCAAAAAGCTTGATAAAGAGAGATTTCTAAACTCCTTATCCAGAAGCAAACTTCTCCTCCTTCCAAAAAGCTATAGTGTAAACACTTGAAGGTTTCCTTGCCTCAAGCACCACACCACGTTGAAGGATATTACTTTTGATCAAACTTATTGATTAAAAAGGGGGTAGGTCAACTCTCTTACAAGTTGATCTTGCAAGTCCTATTGTTCGGA